CTCTGGTTGCCCTCAGAATTAGTACCGAAAGCGTTACAATTAGCCCACGATGATCCGTTATCTTCTCACGGTGGAATAAATAAAACCCTCGAGAGAATACGTCGCTATTACTTTTGGCCAAATTTAGTGACAGATGTGCGGAACTATGTTAACCAGTGTGAAATTTGCAAAGTTACTAAGCCATCCAATCGAACGCTAAGACCGCCCTTGGCAAAATCTACTGAGAGTCATAGATTTTTCCAAAAGCTTTATATCGATTATTTAGGGCCGTATCCACGTTCGAAGGCAGGTCACATTGGAATATTTATAGTAGTCGATCATCTTACGAAATTTCCTTTCTTGAAACCTGTAAAAAAGTTTTCCGTCGATGCTATTTTGCCCTTTATCGAAGAAAATCTGTTTCAATGCTATGGAGTTCCCGAAACCATTGTTTCTGATAATGGAGTCCAATTTAAGTCGAACGCATTTAAACAGTTGCTATCCAAATATGGCATAAACCACGCTTTCACGGCAGCGTATGCCCCTCAAGGGAATGTGTCGGAACCCGTAAATCGTTCGGTAATATCTGCCATTAAAGCGTATGTACACCCTAACCAAACAAACTGGGATGAGAATCTAAGTAAAATCTGTTGTTCTCTTCGTTCTAGTTTCCACACTGCAACGAATAATACCCCTTATCGCCTTGTTTTTGGTCAGCAGATGATCACCCATGCAAGCACGTATGAGCTTTTGCGTCGCTTGAGCTTGTTAGAGGATCGATCTATCGTATTTAACAAGGACGATTCTTTTGATCTGATGAGAAATCAAGCCAACCTTCACGTACAAAAACAATATACCCGCACTGAAAGAGCGTATAATTTGCGAAGTCGGGAAGTCTCGTTTGTCGTAGGTCAGGAAATATTTCGTAGGAATTTTCAACAAAGTTGCTTTGCTAAGGGCTTCAATGCAAAATTAGCCCCAGCATTTGTGAAAGGAAGAATAAGGCGGAAACTAGGATCAGCGTATTATGAAATTGAAGATATGCAAGGAAAGCTAGTTGGCAAATACCACGCTAAAGATATTAAGCAATAGCTATTCGTGCCAAGCGTGTATCCCTCTTGTTGATCCCCCAACAAGTGTGATTTTAGCGGGGGGGAATTGTAATAGCGCTTGTCACTAGCGTCGGAGCCATCTACCGGCTGAATTCAAACTAGGCGCCCTATCGGCTCGTATGATCAACAGCGCCACCTGTGGGCGGAGTTGCCATACCATAGTTAAATTTATATCGCATACTTTATTTTATACTGGCCCAAAATACAAGCCTGGGCTTAGCGTAAGAGCAGCTAACTTTGCGCTGCCAATTTCCTTTTCCTCTACGATCTTAAGCCGGACAGACGTGGTATTGTTAATTAAAAATTAATCCTCCACCTGTCCGCCAATCTAAAGTGTTTGAGTGTGCCAGACTCAAGGTATGTACTGGATACATCATTATTTCAACCCAGAAAACTAATAAAAATTAATTTATTAGTTTCTGGCACTTTGTGCCTAATTGAGGATCGACTTGCCTCGAGGAGCCCCCTCCCCTCGGCAGTACTACGGACAACTGCGCCCAGCGGCTGAGCTGCCAGCAGAGTCAGAGGTCTGCATTTTTTTTTGGTTTTCCTTGGATCGGAGACCAAGCCAAAAGGCTGAACTTGGCCGTCGAGTTCCCAAATTTTCATCGGCCAGCGGAGCCCCTCGTCCAACAACAACATGGGAGAATACCCTAACCTCCAGCTTTGAACAACAACAACAAGTGCAAATAACTTCAAGCTCCGCTTTGCATATTTTTCTGAACAACAACAACCAGTGAAGATAATCAAAATTTAGGCTGAAAAGCCATAACAATTAGGGAGTATGTGCCTTCCTTAAGTTTTTCTGTACAACAACAACAAGTGAGAATAACCCTAGTGATCATGTGCCCTTAGTTTTTGTACAACAACAACAAGTGAAAATAACCTAAATTCGGGCAACAACAACTAGTGACCATGTGCCCTTAGTTTTGTACAACAACCACAAGTAAAAATAACCTACTTCGTTGCCGGAGTCAACAGCAACCGCAAATAAAAATAATCTTAAATAATAACAATAAGAAATAATTAAAATGGCACAATATTAGATTAATTAATTTTCAACTATATTCTTTTCCTTAATTATTTTTATATTTTTTTTATTTTTCAAACTCAATACTATAAATAAATTTAAATTGTGAATGTGAACGAGAAGAAAGGAGAAATGAGGCTCGAAGTACAGTGAACTAATTAAAAATAATTAATTCTATTTGTATGATGTAGTTAGCAAGGAAAAATCCTTTTATTTTTTTTTCTTTTATTTTGGTTATATAGACAGAAAGATGACACTAGGCATGAATTTAATTAAATGCAAAAGCGAATCAAATTATAAATAATAAATAAACAAATATTAACCCCACCATTCAGCACCTGGAGAAAGATCTTTCGCCGAGGAAATAATGGATTACTGTAAGTCACCTTAACTCGTTATTATTTAATTTTATTATTTTTATTTGATCGCCATTTCTTATCCTTTAATGAATTAATACATATATTAAATAATGTAACTTTAAATAGTAAAAACATATACATACTTCTTTTGAATTATTAAAATACCTAGTAACGAAATAATAACCAAATATAAATTGATACACTGAAAAGAATCAGGGTGAATCAAAAGGAAAATAACTCTTAATTAATCCTTTATTAATTATTATTATCATAGTTAATTTTCGGTTAGGTTCCACTGTATAAAATAAACGCCTTCGCATTATCTCGTCATAATTAAATGAAAGAAAAACTAGTTAAACGCGAAAGAAAGCCAAAGGAAGACAATTTTATGAAGTATTATTATTAAATCTCGTTAGTAATTAAATTAAGTTCTTATGTTAATGCCAACCCAAAATGAATTCTATTTCTGCTATAATTAGTCCTTAATAAAAATTATAATGAAGCGTGAGTAGACGATTTTCTTCAGGAATCATGGCAATCGGAAATGGAGCAATGACTTAGCGGTTCGACAACCGATCAAGGGATCGCCTAATATCCTTTAGGAACAACTAGCACTGGCGATCATTGGTAGGGTGGGGATAACGCTGCTCAATACCACCTGAGTTAGCGCATATGGTTGTGCAGGACTCGATGACTTCCTCTCTCAGACTATTTCCCCTTTGCCTCTCTCTCTATAATGACACTCAAGACCAATGACTACCCCAATACCCGCACGTGAATTTTATTTGTTATTGTGTATACCCGCGAGCAATGAGCCTAGCAGAATATTAACTAGGGAACCTCCCCAACGCCCGACTAACACTGAGCCGGAAAATTATCACGTGCTCTGCGAAATAAGACTCCCCGACCATCCGTTCGTCTTCTCATATCCCTGATCCTTCTCGGATATGAACGTTATATGCTACAATAATAAATTGGCGCCCAACGTGGGGCCCGAAGAGAGATCCGACAGGTCCTAAAAATAAAATAAAGTGATTCAAACAGCTAGATCACAAAAATGTAGTCTTGGTTTTGTGCTACATTCCAGTTTAGACTTCAGAGAAAAGAATTAGGAATTTCTACATGGCGTTAGTACCAGTTCGGAAAACGGTATTTCACTAATAGTTTTGGTTGCAGGAAAGCTAAATCTAATAAATAAGGACTTAGCTCCGCTCGCAGAATTAGAAGTGTAATAGCCGACAAAGGATAAAGGTTAACTCGACTGGATTTCGGCTCCGAATTTAATCGGTTCCTTACCGTTAGTATACTAATATCCTGAACTCGAAGTATACTGGAATGCAAGTATTTATGGTCCTTTGCTTTATGGAAGCATTTGTTCCTTAAATTTTCCTTTTCGTTCCCTTTTCCCTTTCTCCATCAACCCCTTTCTATATTCCCTTAATGATATTTGTTGTCTTAACTAGCAGGAATTTTAAATTCGGATTGACTAGCTATATGCTCCTACCTATTGTAAATATTTGTATAGCGGGGATAGCAGATGAGCGAATCGTAAAAGAATATATACCGCTTCGTTAGGACAACTGACATGTATCAAAATATGTCTATTATTCACTTGAACCTGAATATAATGATACATAAGATGACAAATAGTAGATCTTTCAACCAAAACGTCTTTTCGGATTAAAGATTATTTTACCAAGGATGTAAAGGATTTGGGGGATTGCGTCATCTATGTAGGTTCGGGGTCAATGTTTTCTATGAGAGTCTGAATCAAGTAGTATGGAAGTGTAAATAGTCTTGCCCATGGAAGAAGTCCATGATTCCTGAATATTGATTAAATTCGATTTTTTTATTATTTTCTATTGTGTTAAGATCAAATATATTTAAAGATAAACATTATTAATTAATACAGTAACCGTTAGTATTCACTTTATATACGAGTGGATATTATGCAGTCATAACAAGTTAAAATGGAGGAACAACTTCCAAGAGATATTCAATGCTATCTGTGCCTAAAAGACATTGAATATCCAGCTCAGTTATTGTTTGGGAACGAGACACCCTGTATTGGGTTTCGCGCTCTTTGTTTTGATCGCCGCTGCCGGCGGCCTTATCAGCGGTCGCTAAGCGAGCAGCGCATCGCTGCACATGCGCGCGAGCTTTTGCCCAGTAATTTTCCATTCATTTCTAACTCCTAACTGTAACTTGTTTACGTCTTCGACTAGCATAATCGAATGACGTGCATAGCCAAAGCTTAGTCAGTCACATTTTTGCTCTCAATGCAATCTAACGCAGCGCGGTCGACAATATTAAATGTAATTGTTCGGAAATAAATAAAATTATATTAAACAGTATACACTAAGGCGGATTCATTTATAAACATCCTAAAAACTGGTCCTTCGAGCCGGATCCACCAATACTGTTTATTTTCGGCCAATTAATTTAATTATTGAGGTTTTTTGTCAACGGTGATCTATAGATTTCAAAATCGTATAGAGTCGTTATCTTTTCGCGATCGCCATGCGGAGTGTGATTCAACAACGGGGCTTTTGTAAAAGCCAAATCACACGGGCGCATAATAATGCCCTAAAATTTGTGGATGACATTCAATCAGTGGACACAATTGTGGTGCGCCTGTCGCAAATTCAAGACAATTATTTGCGGTTTGTGCGACATTCGGAAGAGCTGTACGCCTTCCAATCGGAGTCGGATTGGGAGAATCCGGACGACGATTTTGATGCCTATGAGGAGAAACATTACGCTACACACGCCATCCTAAGCAACACTCTGGAGGAGTTACGGCGTGATCAGACGTCTAACAATATTTTGGCCACTGTGCAACCAGCAGATGCGCCCCAGAGGAGCCATGTGGATTTCCAGTTCGAGCGAATCAAACTCCCAACCTTTTCCGGGAATTATGAGGACTGGAAACATTTTTCGGATATGTTTACGGACTCGATTGCTTCCAATTCGAGCCTGACGGATTGTCAACGATTTCATTATCTCAAATCGTATCTATCCGGAGACGCCCTCAATTTAGTCAAACATATTCCTGTGACTAATGAGAACTATCGGGAGGCATGGGATCGGCTTGAGCAGCGATATAACAAACAATCGCTAATTATCCGATCATTCCTCAACAGTTTCATGACCCTTCCCAGTGCTACGTCTACTAATCTCAGCACAGTGCGGAAACTGGCCGATGGCGCAGACGAAGTTATTCGTGGTTTGCGAGCCCTTGACTGCGAAGAGAGGGATCCTTGGCTAATCTTCATCCTATTGTCAAAATTAGATACCGATACTTGCCAAGCTTGGGCGCAGTGCGCAGACTCCGAGGGAAAAGGTGTGACCATCAACCAATTCCTTAAATTTCTCACCTCTCGCTGCGATACTTTGGAGGCTTTTCACTTAGTTCGACCAACCCAAGCTCGACGCGCAGCCACAACGCACCACGCAGATACGCATCCTAGACGAGAAGAACCCAAATGCACATCGTGCCAGCAAACTCATCAACTGTTCAAGTGTCCTCAGTTCAACGGACTCGACATCGCAGCTCGCCGGGAGTTTCTCAAGACGAAAAAGCTATGTTTCAATTGCCTCAGCCCAAGTCACCTGGCGGGTAACTGTACATCGAGACACACTTGTCGGATTTGTCGCCGCAAGCATCACACCCTGGTTCACCCTGGCTCGGCGCAGCCAACTCAAAACGGTAACTACTTGGAGAGAGCCCGTACGGACAGCCGCGATCGTCCATCAACCTCACAAGCGGCGTCTACAATCGGCCAGAATCAACCGCCTGGTCAAGAGATTCATCAATCAGGGAGTTTACCTCCCGCGGAAAATAACTTCACGCATCATACGCTGGAGAATATTTCAGCTGCAGGTTCGCAGACTCTGTTGCCAACCATCCTTGCAGACGTCGTCGACGCCTGGGGAAATACTACAACCTGCAGGCTGCTCTTGGACACTGGGTCCACAATCACCTTGGCGTCGGAATCATTTGTTCAGCGAATAGGCGTACGTCGAACGCACGCCCGGATTTCTATACTCGGTCTCGCAGCCAACAGTGCTGGCGTTACCCGAGGACGCGCACATATCAAGCTGCGCTCTCGTCATTCGGACCAAACTGTCGAACTGGTCTCGTTTATTCTCAATTCGCTGACATCATCACTCCCGGCCCAGGCTATTGACACCTCATCTTCTACGTGGAAGCAAATCTGCGAGCTTCCTTTGGCAGATCCCACATTCTGCACGCCAGGATCCATCGATGTCATCGTTGGATCAGATCAACTCTGGTCTCTTTATACTGGAGAACAGAAATGCTTTGGTAACGACGCTCCTATCGCTCTGAATACTGTTTTTGGTTGGATTATTGCAGGCTCTTACAATGCATGCGATGATCACCTGACTTCAGCGGTTACTCATCACGCGGACCTCGACACGATGGTTCGCTCTTTCATGGAGATGGATAATATACATCCTAGCCAGGCTCTTTTGGACGCCAACGATCCAACAGAGCGTCATTTTGCTGCCACTCACACGCGCTTGGAGAACGGGGCTTACGTCGTCAAGTACCCCTTCAAGGAGCATGCGCCGCCTGTTGATTCAACTTTACCGCAGGCCATCAATCGCTTCCACTCGCTGGAACGCAAGTTTCGTCGATCTCCAGACTTGAAGCAGCAGTATGAAGCATTTCTGGACGACTACTTGCGACGTGGTCATATGGAACAGCTGACATCGGCTCAAATTGATGAGTCCCCAGAAACCTGCTTCTATCTGCCGCACCACGCTGTCATCAAACTGGACAGTCTGACTACGAAATGTCGCGTAGTTTTCGATGGATCGGGAAAGGACAGCTCTGGAGTGTCTCTCAATGATCGACTTCAAATTGGCCCACCCATTCAACGCGATCTTCTCGGCGTTTGTTTACGTTTCCGGCAGCACCCATATGTTTTCTGCGCGGATATCGAGAAGATGTTCCGAGGAATTCAAGTCTTCAAGCCGCACACCAATTATCAGCGCATTGTTTGGCGCAAGAACGAGAATGAACCACTGCTTCATTTTCGCCTGTTGACGGTCACCTACGGATTGGCGCCGTCACCATTTCTGGCTGTTCGAGTTCTTAAGCAGCTAGCTGAGGATCACCGCCACGAGTTCCCCGCAGCAGCCCACGCGCTTCTACACGACGCTTATGTAGATGATATCCCAACAGGGTGCAACTCATTCGACGAGCTCATGATTCTCAAAAACGAGCTGATTCAACTGTTGGATAAGGCGCAATTCAAACTACGGAAATGGAGTTCCAACAGTTGGCGTCTTCTAAAATCATTGCCAGAAGAGGACCGATGTTATGAGCCTATCCAGCTCCTCAACAAATCAGCTGCGGATTCACCAATCAAAATTCTTGGCATCCAATGGAATCCCGGAAAGGACGTCATGTACCTCAATATCAAGGAGTGCGATCCGACCATTTCTCCGACGAAAAGGGAACTCTTGTCGCAGCTATCAAGAATCTATGACCCGCTTGGATTGGTAGCGCCAGTCACAGTTCTACTCAAGCTTATCTTCCAAGAAAGCTGGACAAGTGTTCTGCAATGGGATGACCCGATTCCTGAAACTCTACGCTCGCGCTGGAAGGCCTTGGTGGAGGATTTGCCAACACTTACGCAATGTCAAGTACCACGATACATTGCGTCACCATTCCAAGACGTTCAACTACACGGATTCGCCGACGCATCCGCGCAAGCCTACGGTGCGGTTGTATACGCTCGAGTAGCATATGGAGGCAGTTTTCAAATCACCCTAGTTGCTGCCAAAACCCGTGTAGCCCCGATCAAGCCTGTTTCGATCCCACGTCTGGAACTGAATGCTGCTCTACTTCTTTCTCGATTGCTCTCGATTGTCAAAGCCTCACTAACGATTCCTATTTTCAGCACGAGCTGCTGGACAGATTCAGAAATTGTGCTACACTGGCTTTCAGCTCCCCCACGAAACTGGAACACATACGTCTGCAACCGAACGGCTGAGATCTTGAACGACTTTCCTCGCAGCTGCTGGAATCATGTTCGCACAGAGGACAACCCTGCCGACTGTGCTTCTCGAGGACTTCATCCGTCCAAGCTTCTGGAGCATCGACTGTGGTGGAAGGGTCCATCATGGCTGGCCACACCGCCCTCTGATTGGCCACCGTCTACAAGCAAGTTCAGCGTATCTTCAAATCTCGATGTCAACACCGAAGAGAGAGCTGTCAAGCCCACAACTCTACATAACTTTCCTGATGAAAGTATCTACGAGTTACTCATCCACAAATTCTCAACCTGGACGCGTCTGCTAAGGGTATCTAGCTACTGTTATCGCTTTATTCACTCTCTTCGATCTCGTCATAGGAATCCGGCACCATTCCTTACATCCGAAGAGTTGCAGGCCGCACGATGCCGACTCATCCGACACGTGCAACAAAATTTCTTTGCCAGAGAATATGCGCAGCTAGAGAATCGACGCCCGCTTAATGCTAAATCGCATTTAATTCGGTTCTCCCCATTTCTAGACGATCATGGAATTATGCGAGTCGGTGGAAGAATCGACAAATCGACAATCAACTTCAACGCCAAGCATCCAATCCTAATACCAAAGGATTCACCACTAGCCGGGCTCCTGGTTCGATATTTTCACGTTTCACATCTACACACTGGAGTTGATGCTACGTTCACCAATCTTCGTCAGCAGTACTGGATTCTGGGTGCACGCAATCTGGTCAGAAAGGCAGTTTTCCAATGCAAACGCTGCTTTCTTCAACGCAAAGGCACCAGTAACCAGATCATGGGAGAGCTGCCAATCCCTCGAGTTCAGGCTAGTCGCTGTTTCCAACATACAGGGCTGGATTACGCTGGACCGATCGCCATCAAGGAATCAACAGGACGAACTCCTCGGATCGGGAAGGCATGGTTTTCTATTTTCGTCTGCCTAACTACAAAGGCAATCCATATCGAGGTCGTCAGTGATCTGACTGCAAAGGCCTTCATCGCCGCCTTTCAACGATTTATTGCCCGACGAACAAAGCCCACCGATCTGTACTCGGACAACGGAACCACATTTCATGGCGGAAAGCAAACTTTGGACGACATGCGACGCCTAGTCATCGAACAATCTAAAGATGAGGAGCTGGCTGGATTCTTCGCCAACGAAGGCATTTCTTGGCACTTCATACCCCCATCTGCCCCTCATTTTGGCGGAATGTGGGAAGCCGGCGTTCGTTCCATAAAACTTCATATGCGACGGATACTTGGATCCAAGGCTCTCACGTTTGAGGAACTAGCGACTGTTTTGACCCAAATTGAAGCCATCCTCAACTCTCGCCCACTGTGCCCAAATGGGGATAATTCGTTGGACCCGCTGACTCCCGCTCATTTCCTGACTGGAGCTCCTTATACTGCCCTCTCTGAACCCTGCCGTCTGGATATGCAAATCAATCGACTGGAGAGGTGGAATCAGCTGCAAGCTATGGTCCAAGGTTTCTGGAAACGGTGGCATATGGAATACCTGACATCGCTTCACGAACGCACAAAATGGCATCTAGAAACTGAGAATCTGAAGATCGACACACTGGTGGTACTCAAGGAGCCTAATCTACCTCCCTCTAAATGGATTCTTAGACGCATCAGCGAGGTGCACGCAGGATCAGATGACAAAGTACGGGTCGTAACAGTGAAGACGGCCCATGGATCCTACAAACGCCCAATTACCAAAATTGCTGTCTTGCCTCTGTGCTGAACGACCGTTCAGGGGGGCCGGTATGTTTGGGAACGAGACACCCTGTATTGGGTTTCGCGCTCTTTGTTTTGATCGCCGCTGCCGGCGGCCTTATCAGCGGTCGCTAAGCGAGCAGCGCATCGCTGCACATGCGCGCGAGCTTTTGCCCAGTAATTTTCCATTCATTTCTAACTCCTAACTGTAACTTGTTTACGTCTTCGACTAGCATAATCGAATGACGTGCATAGCCAAAGCTTAGTCAGTCACATTTTTGCTCTCAATGCAATCTAACGCAGCGCGGTCGACAATATTAAATGTAATTGTTCGGAAATAAATAAAATTATATTAAACAGTATACACTAAGGCGGATTCATTTATAAACAGTTATTATCCACTAATTGTAACCACACGTTCCATTGGGCCTGTTTCAACACTAAAGTTGGAAATCGAGATTCTTGCCCAGTGTGCAGATCGAAGCTAGAAAGATCGCGTATGACCCTAACTGTTAATACCGACCTAAATCAATCCTCTCAGAGTTTACCATCAGACAATATGCCAGTCCGACTTAGAAGTCATCCTAAGGAAGTGGATGCCCCTCCAGAAACTATGAGGGCAGAGATAGGAAACGAACCAGGTCGCGAAGATCAGGCAATTGGGGAAGAACAAAGTCCGTCTCCTGTTTTGAATGAATTACAACAATCAGTAGTTGAAGCTATGAGTGCAGCAGCTATAAGACAAACAGAGCTTATAACTCGAGCCATGAATGTAGGTTTTCAAAATCTTCAAAAAGCACTTACGCAACAAGAAGATTCTCGAACCGGAAGCGTTCCGGCCGCAACCGCAAGGGGAAGTAACCTTGTGACTACGGTAAACTCTGTACCCTCGGGTTTGTCTTCCAGAACTTCAGACTTAAGACCAGATCGTATAGGTCAAATTATAAGTCACTGGAACCTAAAGTTTTCAGGAAAATCAGCTATGAGTATAGATGGTTTCCTACATCGAGTAGAAACGCTTACGCGGAAAACTCTAGACGGAAACCTTGAGCTTTTGACGTGTCATATTAGCACGTTGCTAGAAGGACCGGCTAGTGAATGGTACTGGCGGTACCAAGAAAGTGTTCAAGAAGAAACTTGGACCAGTCTATCTGAAGCTTTAAGAGAGCAGTTTAGGGAAGAACGAACTGATGTGAGTATCAGAGCATCCATTGATCGTCGCAAACAGAAGACAGGAGAGTCTTTTGATGAGTTTTATGAAAGCATTGTTAAATTAACCTCTAAGTTGTCCGTGCCGATGGCTGAGTTGACCTTGTTAGAGTGTGTTCGGTCAAACTTATTGCCTGAAATCCAACTCGAATTGCTATACCACCATTTTAGTAGTGTAGCCCAGTTAAGGCGCGTAGTACGCATGCGAGAAGCTTTTATGCACTCTGTCAATCCTGCCGTGCGAAAACCTCTTCCTGCTCCTCGTCGTATGATACACGAGATCAAAAGCGAATCCGAAGTTGAAAGCGAGCCAGAAGACGTTGAGCTGTCCGCAATAACAACTTCGTGTTGGAATTGTGGTAAAAGTGGTCATTTATATCATGATTGCTACGATGAGCGAAAAGTCTTTTGCTACGGTTGTGGAAAACCAGATACATACCGACCCTCTTGTCCTAAGTGTACTGGCACAAAAAACTATCAAGCTCGTGCACAAGTGAGAAGTGCACGCAAACCGACTGTTTCCAAAGCAACCAACACCGAATAGAAGAATCCAAAGATTCTTACCAACCCTCACCAGATTTGACTAGCAACCCTGAATGTTCTATTGACCCGGCGATTACCCTTTCTGCGGTATCTAAAAGATCTAAAGTATCTAAGAGAAGAAGGCGTTCTCAAAGACGCATAAAAACTTATTATCGAAACTTGCAAAAGGAACAAAAAGGTTTATTGTCAGCGATAATTTCTGCCGATAGTCGTCCATATGCGAATGTAAAAGTCCTAGGTCGCTCAATTTCTGGCTTAATGGACACTGGTGCTTCTATCAGTTGTATCGGAGGTGCTTTGGCTAAAGAGTTATTGCAAGAACAGGTAAAATATAAGCCCATGACTAATTCTGTCCGAACTGCGGATGGACAAACTCAAACTATAACTGGCAAGATTCGTGCAGACGTTGAATATAAAGGTGATAAGAAAAGTTTAATCTTTTATATCGTACCTTCATTAGTACAGTCGCTGTATTTAGGCATCGATTTTTGGAAAGAGTTCCAGCTACTTCCGTTAGGTCTTCTTCAATCCACTCCGGAGAAAAGCCTAGCAGCTATTGACACTGACTTGTTCAGACCGATCTCCCGGGAACAACAAGTCGAATTGCAAAAAACCGTTCAAAATTTCCCATCCTATACGGAAAAAGGTTTAGGCAGAACTAACATACTCTCTCATTCCATTGACGTAGGCGACGCGAAGCCAATTAAACAACGCCATTATCCGGTGTCACCTGCGATTGAGAAACTTCTATTTGAAGAGATAGATCGTATGTTAGCTCTTGGTGTCATAGAGGAGTCAGAAAGTGCCTGGTCCTCACCAGTCGTTTTAGTTCGCAAGCCAGGCAAAATCCGCCTGTGTATCGACAGCCGTAAAGTGAATGCAGTCACGCGTAAAGATGCATACCCAATGCCAATAATTGACGGTATCTTAAGCAGACTACCAAAAGCCGAATTTATCACTAGTCTCGATTTAAAAGATGCCTATTGGCAAATTCCTCTCGAGCCAGGCTCTCGCGATAAAACCGCTTTTACTATACCAGGTAGAGCATTATACCAGTTCACTGTTATGCCGTTTGGGTTAACCAATGCCCCATCGACCATGTCGAAATTGATGGATCGCATCATACCCGTTACATTAAAAAACGAAGTATTTATTTACTTGGATGACCTATTGATTGTATCGGATACGTTTAATCGACACTTGTCCGTTCTTAACGAAATAGCATCTTGCTTAGCCAAAGCTGGCTTAACCATTAATATTCAGAAGAGCAAGTTTTGCATGAAAGAAGTCCGTTATTTAGGCCATGTAGTAGGTAATGGTACTATTTCCATGGATGCAGACAAAATTGATGCTATAAAGGAATATCCAGCACCTCGATCAATCAAGCAGTTACGTCGTTTTTTAGGGATGATAGGGTGGTACCAAAAATTCATTTGTAATTTTGCTTCTATCGCTACGCCATTAACCGATGCATTAAAGCATACGAAGCGGTTTGAGTGGACGGACGCTGCAGAAGAAGCCTTTCAATCTCTTAAGAGAGAGTTGTGCAAAGCTCCAGTGTTGCATACTCCAAATTTTGATCTACCCTTCTCCATACACTGCGATGCTAGTGATACAGGCATAGGCGGTGTACTTATGCAGATAAATGAAGAAGGCGATGAAGTGCCGATCTCATACATGTCTCGAAAGCTTAACAAATGCCAGCGTAACTACTCGGTTACCGAAAAAGAATGTTTGGCAGCTATGTTAAGCATTAAAAAGTTCAGAGCGTATATCGAGGGACATCCTTTCACGGTAATAACCGACCATGCCTCGTTAAAATGGCTGATCCGATCTCAGTAGTCGATTAGCTCGATGGGCTCTAAAGTTACAAGGATACGAGTTTACCATACAGCATCGAAAAGGCAGCAAAAATATTGTTCCCGATGCGCTTTCGCGAACCTATACTGAAGACTTATCCGCTGTCGAATTACCTCAGTTTATCGACTTAAAGTCCCCACATTTCCACTTATCCCTTTATCAGGATCTACGAGAGAAAATTGAAAAAGGACTAGTGGGTGACGTGAAAATAGAGGATGGTCTAATATTTCGTCGAATGGAGCATTTAAACGACAGCAAAATTTCAGATGATCAAGCGTGGAAACTCTGGTTGCCCTCAGAATTAGTACCGAAAGCGTTACAATTAGCCCACGATGATCCGTTATCTTCTCACGGTGGAATAAATAAAACCCTCGAGAGAATACGTCGCTATTACTTTTGGCCAAATTTAGTGACAGATGTGCGGAACTATGTTAACCAGTGTGAAATTTGCAAAGTTACTAAGCCATCCAATCGAACGCTAAGACCGCCCTTGGCAAAATCTACTGAGAGTCATAGATTTTTCCAAAAGCTTTATATCGATTATTTAGGGCCGTATCCACGTTCGAAGGCAGGTCACATTGGAATATTTATAGTAGTCGATCATCTTACGAAATTTCCTTTCTTGAAACCTGTAAAAAAGTTTTCCGTCGATGCTATTTTGCCCTTTATCGAAGAAAATCTGTTTCAATGCTATGGAGTTCCCGAAACCATTGTTTCTGATAATGGAGTCCAATTTAAGTCGAACGCATTTAAACAGTTGCTATCCAAATATGGCATAAACCACGCTTTCACGGCAGCGTATGCCCCTCAAGGGAATGTGTCGGAACGCGTAAATCGTTCGGTAATATCTGCCATTAAAGCGTATGTACACCCTAACCAAACAAACTGGGATGAGAATCTAAGTAAAATCTGTTGTTCTCTTCGTTCTAGTTTCCACACTGCAACGAATAATACCCCTTATCGCCTTGTTTTTGGTCAGCAGATGATCACCCATGCAAGCACGTATGAGCTTTTGCGTCGCTTGAGCTTGTTAGAGGATCGATCTATCGTATTTAACAAGGACGATTCTTTTGATCTGATGAGAAATCAAGCCAACCTTCACGTACAAAAACAATATACCCGCACTGAAAGAGCGTATAATTTGCGAAGTCGGGAAGTCTCGTTTGTCGTAGGTCAGGAAATATTTCGTAGGAATTTTCAACAAAGTTGCTTTGCTAAGGGCTTCAATGCAAAATTAGCCCCAGCATTTGTGAAAGGAAGAATAAGGCGGAAACTAGGATCAGCGTATTATGAAATTGAAGATATGCAAGGAAAGCTAGTTGGCAAATACCACGCTAAAGATATTAAGCAATAGCTATTCGTGCCAAGCGTGTATCCCTCTTGTTGATCCCCCAACAAGTGTGATTTTAGCGGGGG